TAATATTTCGGAGTCATTAATTCAGACTTGATGCTTTTACATGGCTACAATACATATCAACTTGTTTTTAAAAGTACTTAAACTATAGTAGGACCTAGATATTGCTTACAGTGACGTTTCTAATCTATAACTTTTTGGTGAAATTTAACTTTTGTTTCAAAATTGCTTTAAATCAACATGTTAACTTAAAACAGTAAATCACACAGCATATTTTAAACTGCTCTTCCAATTACTTTGATATGTATGTGTGAATGGTTTCATTACAGAAAAGCAACATCCACCTAGAACTACTGTCATTTGTATCTATAGCACAATTTATTAGACAAAACGTATTGTGGAAACTTTACTAAATAGCTGAATTTCTTCCTTCTGCATATTTACCCTCCTCCATTTGACTGTGAGAAGTGGCTATGAGTGATTGTGCTGTTATTTATATCTTAGGATAATTTTAAAGTTCTTAGAATGTACTTGTATTAAACCTTTGTACTGTTTAGAGGAGTAAAGCTCTTCTGGTGTCTTTGAATTTTAGTGTTCAATTTGAAATTACATTTAAACATTCTTTCCCTTTACTCTAGCTTTTCTGTGTTTTCTGTCATTCAGTAGGGAGCAGCTTGTTGTAATAGGTTGGTGTAAACAGAATTTAATAACCTATCACTTCAAGATCAGTGAGGATACCAAGGTTCATTCCCAACATTTCCTTGAGCCAGGGGTTTTATTTCTTTAAAAGGCCCCTGCTGTTGGTACTGGGCTGTGTTTGTATTTTCTAGTGGCCAGTAGTACTGGAAATTGTATGAGTTAGAGTAGAAAAAGTGCATAAGGGAAGTTGCTCTTTTTTAATACTATGGGCCATAGTATTCTGAAAAAAATACCATGTGGAAAACTTCCTTCCTTTCTTACCATATCGCATTCATTCTTTTGTTATTGACTAATTAATATATCCCTACCTGTGTATAAACAGCAACTAGGAAAGTATTTATTTTCAGTGTTTATTTCATTTTCCTTTAATGGCATTCCGACAGCTGGAAATGACTCGATTCTACTTCACCAGTTTTTAATTCATCAAATTATTTTTAGTCAGCCAGCCATATTGTGTGAAAGTCTTTAGGTCTTTGTGGTGAGAAGTAAAGTTTGATATTTTTATAAAAGCTCTTGATAAAATATTCTGTGATGGCTTTCTTTCTGAAAATGTTTTCCCCTTTTCACCATTTCGATCTTTTTGATTCAAATCTTTTGAACAATTTCAGTCAAGCTTGACAGGCACTTCTTTCCTTTAGGTTTAAAGATTTTTGAAAACCACTGTCTAGATAGAAGAGAGGCCTAAATTAATACCTCTAGTTGAGGGAAGAGTTATACCAAGTTTTCAGTTATCTGCTTTGCATAGCTTACAGAAAGCTAGTAAACTTGCAGTCTCTTCCTTGTTAAGTCATTAGTCAAGGTATTAAGAAGGAAGCTCTGGGATGGGATATGGAGGTAGAGTTAGAAATGGTCTTCAAGGACTGGGATGCAAGAGGTATAAGACTTGGAATTATTGTGGTAGGTTGAGGGATATGGAAAACACAGGACAAATCAACAGGGAGCTGGACTTCAGTATTTCTTCTCATGGAACAGCTTTTCTAATATTAATGCTTGGCTGTATAGATGCAAGTCAGTTGAATTCTCTGCCTGCTTTTTGGCTCCCCTCTAAATCCCTCCCCAAGAAAATAAAGAATAGTTAGGAAAAAAAACCACAAAATAATCTGTAATTATGTCACTTCTTCTTTTATTTTTGTACAACCAAATTTCTAGGAGCTGTAGCAAGATTTTTTTTTTAACTACCTGATCCATTGACCTTAATAGCAAGATAAATACTGAGCAGTTTCTTCAACTCCATTATCGTGTATAGGTACCCTGAGGATAATGTGTATATGCACAGGCAACAGAATGAAAGCAAAATCTGTTTACAGAATTAGGCTATATTTAAGGATACTGAAATTTCTGCCAAACAAGGAGCACAGTGAAATTTCATTTGCCTGTTATGTTGTTCTTAATGTTCTTTAATTTAGCAGACAAGATAGTTTGGTTGTAATTAAGCTTTTCTAATATTGTTGTTCCCCAAGGTTACAGCATAAATCATTTTACTCTATAGTTTCCTGCATCTTCACTGCCTCCATTTTTCCTGTATAATTCTTCCATAAACAGTCTCTTGGATGCAGGAAAACTTCATGCTGTAAATTACTTCTTATGTATGTTACATAATTTTGAATACATGCAATTGATTTTCTCTTTTTCTGAATCCATTATTCAGGTATTCTGGTTTTCTTGGTGAAGTTTCTTTCTTCTGTGTGCATACCCTTCCTGCTGTGGTAACAAATGTTTTTTAGCCCAAAATAACTCTCATGGCAATTTCGATTACTCCTCACTGCTTTTTCTATAGGTAGACCTGGCAATCAGGCTGAATTGCTCAACATTTGCTACTGAAGGACAAGAGGCAGTGGGCTCACTGAAGTAAAATAAATTACATTTATTATAATTAGGGGATGTGTAACTTTTTGCGAAAAAAAAAAATCTGTTATCTGTTTATCTGTGTCCTATGTGCAGCTTAAAAAAAAAGGATTAAACAAAAAATCCTCATGCTGCAACAGAATGAAGTACAGGACCAATAGTTGAGGTTATGTCAATCTAAAATACTGAACAACAGAGGCGATCTACCTTGTTTCACATAACAAAGAAGGTATTTTTCTGTATTCAGTTATAGATGAGACATACGTCCACTATAACATTGCTGACAGGTGGCAACTCCTCCAAATCTTCCAGGTTTTTGAGACTTTGCACCGTATTATTTACATTATGAAAGAAATTGATGCAGCACGGTTAGGCCCCTTTATATGTGTGCTCACACTACGTATAATCTTGCCATTTAATTATGTGATAGCTAAAACTGCATTTAGGCATCCCTTCTCTTTTAGGAAAAGAACTAGCCATCTTACTTGGGAGCACCGTTTTTTGTGTGGTACAAGAGTTGTTGAGGTTATCATCCGTCTCATGTGTTAGTAACTGATACCTTTCCCATTCCAGTGTTGTGTCAGCTCACCACCTGCCAGTGCAAGAAGAGGTAGTGACATGTTCCTTGCTCTGCCCTCTGCTGGTTTAGAAACTGTCTCTCATACATCATACCTCTAACATAATACTTTGTACTGCCTCATAATAATATAGCTTGTCACTGTCTTAAAAGAAAACAACTCCTGCTTTGGATTAAAAAAATAATAAATTGAATTTTTTAAATAGTAATACTGAATTTTTGATCATGACAGAGTGAAGTAAGCTGCAAATACCTTTTGGTAGATAGTTCTTTCAAAGATAAAATTACAGCGGAGAATATGTTATAACTCAGCTGCACTTTGCATCAGGTTGTTTTATAAATGAGGGCTATTTTTCTCTCTTTATTCTCTTTCTGAAATTCAGAGATATTTTCACAGCCACCGTTGTTTAGAAAGTGGCTAAGATAATATTAAAAAAAAAAAAAAATCACAGTAGCTGATAGTATGAGGTAGTGTGTATGTGCACATTACATGAAGAACAGTGGAAAAAATATTCTTCAAAGTACTGATTCTTTTACATAAGTTTTCCATACATCACATTATTGTATTTTTTTCCCCCTTTTTTATCCTTGTCTATTCCAGAAAACATTTCAGACATAAAGCAGCTGAATTAAAGATAGAACATTCTAAGGAACAGTGCTCCCTCGGGTATATATGAATATAAAGTACTGCAAGTATTTGTTGGTATTAAATCTTCAAACGTTTCCTCTGCATGTCTGATTTCCTGGAAGAATTCTAATGAAATCTGGGGAAAAAGACAGATTTACAACTAACTTTACTTGCCTTATTTATTTTTTTTTAATGTGAATTTTGGTTAAGCCACAAATGTTTGTCTTACAAATAGGAGGCTCTTTTATTATGCCCAGGATTTTAAGTTTTAAATAAGTGTTTTTGTCTATGCAGACCTTTTAGATTCAAAAGTTCTAATAAACCTTTCTGTTTACTGAAGTTTTGATTACACACATACACTTTTTTTTACTCTTTATTATATTTTAAATAGTGTAAAATTTTAAATTATATTTCTGGGAAATTTAGCTAGCTTTATTTGCTGTTTAATAAAAATGGAGTTGGAAAGTTTCTTCTGTGTTGTGTTAATTATCTTTTTTTTTTTTTTTTGAAAGACTGGCTACTTGAATGTATCACTTAAATTTACTGATACCTGTTGTTTTAAAATGTTTACATTAAAAAATGTTTTGTTTAGCATGCCCTCCCTTTCCGAAAGCATAACTAAGATTTGACTTTAGGATTACTAACGCTATGGATGTAACAGAGTAGTGTGTAACAGTGACCATCTTGTTACGTGCTCTTTGGTGATTCCAGTATTAGAGTCTTTTCATCTCCCCCTCTCTGCCCTTCATCCATCATCACATGTAGCTCTGCTTTGAAAATTGCATCTTCTGTTCCTTTTGTAATGTTTAATTCTTGAACCTTTTCTTCATGAGTATTTAAAAGCAGTTTTTAACACTGAAGAACTGCTTTCTTTTCCTGTCCTTTGGAGTGATTCAGACGGAGTGTCTCTGGTGTCTGTTTCACTTTTCTTGAAAATATTAGTTTGCTTAACTAGCACTATGTTTTACCTGTCTAACCTTTGAAAGGCTCCAAAGGGCATTGAAAGCAATAGTGTATTTGTAGTACTTCTTGTTCCTTTGTTCCGTGGGAAAGGTACTCTAAGAAATCACTTTTTTTTATAGTCTAAAAAAAATAAAGTATGAGGTTCCAAAACACAAACAAAATCCCCCAAAGGATATTTTGAGGCTTAAGTTCTTGTTAAGTAAACCTAAACCATCTCTGATGTATGAAGTCTTTTCCCACCTTGCTAAAAATACAGTTTGTAGTATTCACAGAATTGTCTACTGCTTACGTAATTGTTTTATACAGAATGTAACAATGCTTCATAGCTTCAATGTTTTAATATTTTTTTAGGAAGAACAGAACCGAGGCAAGCCCAACTGGGAACACCTGAATGAAGATCTGCATGTACTTATCACTGTGGAGGATGCTCAGAACAGAGCAGAAATAAAACTGAAGAGGGCTGTTGAAGAAGTAAAAAAGTTACTGATACCTGCAGTAAGTATTTGTCTGCAAGCCTTCGATTTCCATTTCCAGAAGTTGCTCCTGAAATACAATTAAAACTGTGGCAGTAAGAGTGACCATACAGAGTGGCACACTAAACTGAAGTTTAGATATTATTTTGTAATGCTCTAGTGATCTTTAAAATGTCCCATCCTGAATTGAATTATTCCTCAGAAGAGAATAATATTTTTACGAGATGTTAATATTTTTTTTTGCCTGTGTTAGATATAGATCCAGGAAATTCTTATCACCTTTGAAAAGCAGTGCTGAACTGTTTCAAACACTAGCTTTCTCACCTTTCAGTATAAGGATGCTTCACCTTAAGGCTGGGGAGATAGAGCGTACTATATGATTTGCTTTGAGATTATTCTTACACTTTAAGAAAAGAAGACATGTTTTCTTAGATCATCACATTAAACGCTTTCCAAAAAGAACAAAACCCTTCAGAAACATAGTATCCAAAAACTTTGCTGTCCATATACAGCAGAAAAATAAACATAGTGAAACTGGAAAGTGGGTTGTCTTTCTTATTTCTTGGTAATGTAAACTGCCTTCTGCCCAGCCAGGTGACTTAAAGCCTTTGTAGAGACCAGAATTACTCTGAGAGCCTTTCTCTTGGATCTGCTCTTTATTCTCACACAAAGCAATGTGACTCAGCGTGGCTGTGTAGTGCATCCCATGCCATTAACTTGCATCTTATGCTGATCTTTACTACCACTTTTGTACCATTATAAAATGATAAAAATAAATTATGTATTTTTCAGCGGAGGAAGAAATTTCCATATTATGAGGAAAAATTGAGGTTATCTTGTGAAAAGAAGTAATAGGTGGTATTATAATGACCTAGTCATTTTGGGTGTTTAGTGAATGTTAATAGATGCTAGCTGTGAGGAAACTTGTGGTGACACATGCTCTATAAGCAAATTTATTCAGAACAAATTTTTAAAAATTACCAAAGATCAGGAGAGAGACTTGATTTTTGAATTAACAAAATATGGTATTTTATTAGGCAGGAAGTATGTAAAAAGATCTAATTTAGACTTCTTCATATTGCACATTGTCAATCTGAAAGCAGAAGACAACTAGAGAAGGTAGATCTTCAGAATTCATCCATTAACTTACTAAAGAATTCTTGAGCACATTAGGATTGAGTTTATAGTCAGGATTAGAAATGATAATAAGAAAAGACTTTTTAATATGGGCAGATCTTGAAACTGCTATGTTAATTCTCTAACTGCTGTGCAGCAAATAGTTAAAAAAACCACACAACTCAAACTTCCATATGAAGTCAATTCTAACAGAATTAATTTTGTGAAATGTCTGTTGATTCTTCTACCTTATTTGAGTAATATGGCTGAAGGGTCATGTTCAAGATGACCTGACAGGTCACAAAACCCCAGTATGTCTCGAGTACTAAGGTGTATACTCTGTGTATATTTGTATTATCCTTGAATTCTGGAGCTGGTGTATAGATATGTTTTAAGCCTCAAAAAAAGAAGGAATGTATTAGTAGTTTTTCATTGTGATATTTCAACCAGCTCTTTGTCTTGAAAATATTCTGCCTCATTTAGTAACTTAATCAGTTGGGGAAATTGTGTAATCCTGTTTACGGATTTATTTTTTTTCCCCCTTTAGAAAAGTACAACGCAGAGCTAACTATTGTCCAAGTATAGCATCAATGAAAAACACTTTGTCAGTTCATTTCAATAACATCTTTATGTATTACGTGTAGGCATAAGAGATTTGGGCAGTGCTTATTACATGTGCAGGAGTTAAAGGTCCATTGGATCTCATTTCTGAAAATTATGCCTTGTTGAAACAGGCATGTGTAGTACATACTAATGAATTAATAGGTAGGTGAGCTTGGTTTTTGTGCTACCTATTGCACCTGTTCAATTAGTATAAAAAAAATGGCTGTTTAATCAAATTATGGTTTCAGGCAGTTTGGGAGTCGAAAAATTCTGGTTTAGGATTAAAAGGTATGGATTGAAAGCATCTATGAAGGAAGCCATAAACCTTTAAATAATCAGTGTAAGCGTAAGGGAAATAAGAAATCCTAGCTAATTATAGGAAGATGGGGGAAAATGTGGATGTTGGAAGATTCCAAAGATGCTCTAAAATGTATGAATGGAAAACTGGAAATTCTCTTTCACATGGTGGAATACCTGCAACTATTACTGTTTTCAAAATACATATGAGGGGATTAAAATTCATAAAAATATATCAACGTATTTCTGTTTTATCTCCATCCAACTTGAACAAAAGTTGAGATTATATCGGAGAGAAGTTTCAGTCTCATTCTTGCCATGTAGTGGCAATACTTTGATTTTTCTGAGATACATTTCGGAAAAGCAAGCTAGTGTTAGAGATGTGATTGAGTTGCTAATTTCTTGGAATAGCTACTAATTTTTATACTTAAGATATTAAAAAGCATAATTAAATTTTATAGCAGTAGTTCACAAATAGGCACATTTCTAAAACCGATTTATACTTGAAGGTACTTTGGTGAACAGACACTATTTCAGTAGTAAAGTTTGTTTCTTTTTGTCTTTATGAATCTGGACCACTGGTGATTTTTTTTTTTTCTTGTGAATGTTAATTATTAATTTCCTTTCCCAGTTGCTCTTGAACTTTTACCAAGATGGTGGTATGGTCAAACAGCCTATCTTTAGAAATAAAAAGGACAACTTGAGGCAGAGTGACTGAACAGCCATTTTTTCTCCCTAAGGAGAAAGGTCAAGCCAGAACATTTTTTTTTCTTTAAATAATATTATTATTTTGTATTTAATTTACATTTCTTTGGTATGAAACTTTTTATTTTGACTCTGCTTCATAACAGAGTTCTATAGCAATAATTATTTTCCTCTTCCCATAGTTTAGTGAGATACCAGTCGTTATCTGGACCTGCAAGACCATATGGTACTGCTGCTTTCATGTTTTTCTCTGGTGTAAAACAGGAAGAATAAAGCAGTCTTCAGGCTTTTGGGATCACATTGACCTGTACTGTCCTTATGCCTTCTACAGTGAATCCTAGAGGTTATTGATCTCTCCTCTCTTCATTTTGAGGACTTTGAGAGTTTATCTGTTATTTTTAAAAGTTCAGTAAGGATAGGCAGTTCTCTTGCAAAGGAAAGGCAAAAGATGCTCTAGATTGTGCCCTACAGAATGTAAGAAGAACATGTAGAGCCTGTGTAAGGGGATGTATATAACAATTATGTATAGCATACCAGCTAACAGTGTCATTAAAGGTTTGGAGTTATTCTTTGAAGTCGTGGGCATTTGGGCTGAATTCCTGTGCTGGTTATAAAAAGTGTTGAATAAACTCTTCTAGCTGAATGTGTTTTCAAGATACCCCTTTCGTTATATAGATGACCAAGTCTCTTTAATTACTAATTTGCCTTTATTTAGGATGAAGCACATACAACAGAATTCAAATTCCAGGCAAATACTTTTTACCCCTTTTTCCTTTGATTCCACATTCTTCCTTTCTGAGGAGAAGATCCTTTTTCTGGCTTCTGCTTCACTATTCTAATTTGATCTGGACTCAGTGTTTTTCAGACTCTTTGTATTGCTCTTCCTCTGTCAGGGTTGTAGTTTTATTTGGTTGCTGCCTCCATCTTGTCTGATGACAACTGCAACATAGTATTAGTCAGTGATGCTCCCTGCCAAACTGTGTGTATCATTTGCTATTACGATAATGGAATTTTGAGACTGTGATACGGTAGGAAATATATTTCAGTAGAAGGTTGTTTAGTTTTGCTAGGACATTTGGTTCTTGCCTATAATAGTGATTTTAGACTTTTCAGTCTTTAGTGTCTTTAAATTTAGCTGTATGGTATTGGGGAAGGTATCATTATTTAAACAAAAAAATCATTGAGCTTAACTAAAATAGATACTGTAGCGATATTGATTTTATAATGTCAAAATTCTTAGAGTAGTTTAATGTCAATGGCAATGATTTCTTTCTTTAAAATAATTCAAACACAAATAAAAACATGCTCTATGAGAGATGGTTATTCTTTTAATATGGAAAAAACATTAATTATAACTTAAAGTAGATGGGAGTCAACAAACAAGCCATTATAAAATGGTTCTTTTTATATATTTTCTAGAAGTTTTATGCATTGGACAACAATTACCACCACTCTTTGACTGTTCCCAAGCATTTCGTACTGTTTAGTAATAGATGTTTTACCATTGTAGTTGAGGAATTTAAAAATGGAGTAAGAAAAGGATGAAAAGTAAAGATATTACCAGAACACAGATTCCACACCAAGATGATCTATAAAATAAACACATAGAGAGTATAAATTACCAAAACCTAATCAGCCATTTAATAACAGAAAATTTTGGATAATTCTTGTGTGGAGGAACTGAAGTTGGAAATTAATTTTGTCAATCTTCAGCTCAAATTGAAAACCAAAACAAAACCAACTTTGCAGAGGTACAAAGCCTCAAATGTTAAAAGCCGAAATACCAAACTGGCCTCAAAAGTGCTGGATTAACTGTCCTTTAACCATGTCATGGTTGCTGCTACGACTGTAGTCTGTTTACAGCAAGTTGTTCAGAAGTCTGAATACATCTGAATTACTGAAACTTTGAAATAAAAGAATTAAAGCATACACTCCTTCTTCTAAACATTTTCATAAACAATAGAGAGAAAATAGCTATGCTTAACAAATAATAAAGTAATAAAAAGCAGAATGAGAACTACTGTAAATACCTGAAAACTGCCCAAGAGCCTGAAGCAGTTGCTGAAAGTGACTGAATCTTCTTGAGTTAAGGCTTTACTATTGGGTGAATTTAGTTTGGCCTGAGAGGCTGGCAAGGTTAAGAAAAAAAAGTAGGAGCAGCAAAGAGAATGCTTAGAAGTTGTGTTAACAAGGATAGTATGATAAATACCAGCTGTTTTCAGAAGAAAATAAAGTAACTTAACACTGTAAGATCTGGTATTTTGCTTTGTTTGTAGTGCAATAAAAACAGGCTCACCAAGT